CCACAGTATTGAGTATGTAAGTCGCTTTGGATAAAAGCGTCCAACGTGTAACATGTAATGTAATAATAATGTAATGCCAAAACTACGATGTAGTTATTCTGCTTATGACAAAAAAAGCCTTTGAATGCTTTAAATAAAGTTGTACATTTCTGTCAAATTGTTTTGGATGTTATCCTTGAACTCAGCCTGGTGCATAAGGTGTTGTCAGATTTTTACTAAAATGTATTTAATTTATGCGTCAGCAAAGCAAAAATCCTCAGAAACACATTATGCTTTGAAGTATAACTGGCAGTAACATTCAACACTCAAACGTTGTACTACGACATAGAAAGTATATGATTTACCGTACTTCAAATTGTACTGATTATATTGTATATTTACTGTTAACAGTGTATAAATACTTTAGTATGTGGTGCATAGGGTATACATTTAATGCGTAAAGTAGCTTTGTCACACCTCCACTCTCAAAGCCCAAGTTGAGATAAACCTGATGACATCACTCAGGACATTTTCAGATCTTGACATGGCTTCTGTTTTTTTATCCTTCACAAACTCAAGATAACACAGGGTGGGTCCTTTCTCCTTTTAATAGCTAGGATGAATCGTGTACATGTAGAGTATAAGCATGAGGAGTGTTATGGATGATGTAATACTGTCAGAAATACATTTTACATGAATGAGAAGAAGCGTACATTGTAATGGTATTCCCAACACCCTTTAATACACAGTTGCCTGGAAAAGAATTTGCACTGGTCTGATTTCTGTGCTGCTCCACGTATAATATATAAATATGGATCAGTGTACTTGTCTCCTTTTCTAGGGGCATACATGTGGGCAGTATGATACAGTTTATTCAGCGATTAATAGTTATGCCTTAACCATGGGAGACTTTGGACAAGTTGGAGCAAACGTTAGACACTGATGTTCGTGTGTGTGTGTGGTCATGCTCACGCTCCCATCACTTTCTTTAAGGAAGGGGGAAATACTCAATAAATGTACAGAACATAAATACATGTGTCAACGATTGACAACAGCTTTTATGTCACGGTATGTTTCATCCGGAGCACCCACTGAAACATAGAAATCACCAAAACATATGATTTGAGCTACATGTGATTGTATACGTGTTTTCAGCTAAAATATCATTACATAAGAACGGAAATAAATTAAGAACTACTATTATCAGGATGTATATCCCTAAGCATGTGAAGTAATCATCCAGCCTCATTGAGTAATTTTCTAAATGAATAGAAGTACAAAAAAACAGTTATCATGTACAAAAAGAACTACAGTACATACGTCATGTGGTCTAAAAGTATTGATTGTAAACAGCAAAAAAAAAATCAGTAATGCAGGTTTGTTCATATTGTCTGACCCCGTTTCAATTCTGTTATAAGTGAGTTTTCTGATTGTGGGAATGACATTTCCAACATCCAGCTGGCTGCATCATATTCTGTAGTGAGAACTTTACAACATATATTTGTAGATGCCAGTACTGTATATTTAGTTTAAATCTTTTTCCTTTTGTCTTTATTTCCTATAATCAGGCCAGAGCAAACAAGGGCAAAAAATGTGCATGGTACTATGCAATTCTTTTTTCATATTTGTATTTGCCTCTCCTGTGAGATGTTTCCATTATTTAATGTTCAAAAAGCTATTTTCTTTCATACTGCCTGTGCTACAGCACCTTAGCCTATCACAGAACAGCGAGTGTTACGTAGTGATTTCATTATGTTACGGAAGTAGACAAAGGAGTCCAATGAAGGCGTTTCAGGCAGGGGGGGGGTGTGTGTGTGTGTGTGTGTAGGGCCCCTTTAAAAATAAAGACACTTTTATAAAGAGGTTGAAATTGACCCACAGCCAAAGGCACCATTTATAGGACTGCTATAAATTATAAGGCCTATTGTTTTACTAGAACATGTAATTGCTACTAATAACGTGAAATATTGATTTAAAATGTTACTTGATGGATGTCTCTGGCTTAGACGCAAGGATAATGGGCTGTCAAATATAATACAGATGTTTTAGCCTATGTAAACTACCATGGATTTCTAGAACAAAAAAATACATTTTTCCTATGGAGGTTAGAAATATGGATGCCATCATTACAATAGATGGTATTAAAGCATGAGGCTGAAAATAGAAAGTGTGGAAAGTTTATGAGATGACGCATCCGGTGTCCTTCTGAGGCTTCAGGTCCGGCTCCTTCACCGGCTTCACCTCCGCCTCCTTGGGTTTTGCCTGGAGAAAGAAAAACGGTAACAGAAAATGTAAACAAAAACTGATAAATTGTATTTCTTTTGTTGTGTTTGCGGATGCCGTGATGCAGTCTTGCCGCGGTACCTTGTCATTTTTGGCTCCCTTAGTCAGGTCGAAGGTGGCGTAGACTTCAGGAGTGCACTGCTCACTGAGAGGCGGCAGCTCGAAGGCGATTGGCTCAGCCAGGCCGTAACTGGCCTTCAACTCCAGGTCGGGGGCCTCGGCCGGGACCTTGTGGAAGTATCTGAGGAAAAATGTCAAAAGTCAAAATTCAGAACCATCAGAAAAAGGTGCTTTTGCCAGCTTGAATGCAGCCTAACAAAATTACTATCACACAATCGATTCCCAGATATATACTATTTATTAATCAATCGGTAATCTTTTGTTTATTATGTATTAGTCTCAGAACTGTCAATCACATCTGTAACAATGCTAAAGGAAAATCAGTAGAGGCTTTTCAATCATAAGAGAGGGCTCATAATCAACTTAATAAATTGCTATGTTAAAATGTGTGAATAGATTAACTTATAAAATATATGATTAGAGTGGAAGTGGGAAAGTAGACTAATTTATTTTTTCTTTATTAACATTTGTATAATTTCAATCTGTATGTTTGTACAATCTAGGGAAAATGGCTTGAAAAAAGTTGCTCACATAAAAGGCCAAGACAATTGTAGTGTTTAAGAATAGATTTAAAAAGTGCAGTAAGTGACTTTCTGTCTCTGGAGTTTTAGGCATTGTGGGGGATCATGGGAGTTGTGTTCAGTCATTCTGCCTGTTTATTCCCTTCATTGCGCACCTTTCAGGAGGTTTTTACCAGGAACAGAATTATCAAAAGAGATCTCCTCCTCTCCAGAACTACCACAACCTTTACAAACACTAATTAAAGCAGTTTCAAGTTAAAGAAGTGTTTTATTATGTTTAGCTTAAGTTAACATGTTTCCCCATAAAAATAAAGATATTTAAAGACTAAAATCCTTCATTTGGTTAAAATATAAAGTAAAAAATATAGAAAAAGAGTCTGCTGAATGAAACTTGATTAAAATGTAAGTTTTTTTTGTGGATTCTTATTCAGTTATCTTAAGTATTTTAGTTTTACTGTATCTCATTTTGTTACGCATGCGTTTGTGGATGTTTTTCTCGTAGTGTATGTACAGTGTGTGAGTCTTTGTGCCCTGACTGACTCACATGAAGCCATTTTCTCTCTGGCACTTCTCCAGAGTGTTTTTGATGAGGCCGCCCAGTTTGAGGAAGAACAGCTGCTCTGATGGTTTGGCCGTGGAGCCCGGCCCTTTGGTCTGACGGTACTCTTTGCACAGCGCCTCAGCACGGGAGTAACCTGAACAGGGAGGGGTCATGTTAATACAACAAAATCCAGAACTGACTGAAAACCCACCTGTTTCAACTGCACCTTCAGTAGAGGATTTTATCTATATGGTGTAAGAGGCCCTTTTATGCTTTTTGTGGTTTTCCCTTTCCTGTAGCAGGGGTTCCCAACCCCCGGTCCGCGGTCCGGTACGTTGTTACTGCCGGGCCACGAAATAGCTGTGAGTTTATCGTAATATTTGCAGAATTTTAAATATATAAAAATATTCAATAAAAAAATTAATTATATATTTTTTTAATTTTCGCACCTATACCAGTCAAATTATTTCATCCAAAACATACAAAATAAATCAAAATTGGTTAGCATAAGGTCTCAGCCTCTCATGCACAGAGAAAGTTACCGGTGCGCCAATAGGAAGTGGAGCACACAGGAGACAACCGTTTCATCGCAGACTGTTATGTTTATGTGGGGAAATGGCAGTGCATACATTATTTGAGGTATATTTCGAACTCAGACTTCATTTTAAGGACATTGCGGCCCGGGGTGTGGAGATATTTTTTTATTTGTAAAACCT